TATTCACATTTATTATAACAATATTTTAACATTACTATAAGGTATCACAAAAAATACTTCTCATTTCAGAGACTTTTCGCAGTTCTTTTTTGAATATTTTATGGTATTTAGACATCGTTAAATACACAGCAAACGCCTATATTTTGACACATAAGTTAAATAAGATTGTTCAAAAATAAAATTAAAAAAACATACATTTTAAAGTTAATATATTTAAAAAGTTGCACAGTAGTTTCAATTATACGAAAATGTAGCTTGTATTCAGATTTTACTGAAAATCTATAGCAATCAATAGAGTTACTACCTAATTCACAAATAATATCCAAAGTTATAGATCAGTAAACATTAATCTGTACTAGAGTTGGGCGATATTTCACGAACTGTAATTTAATTATTGATATTAAACGTAGTAGTAACGATTAACAGAGTGATTCACGATCACGATATTCCCAATATTTATTGTACATCTTCTGTGAGAATATATGAGTCCTTAAATGAAGACTAATAAAAAAATTGAAATTATTACATGTTTATATATTGAGGCAACAAACACTCTTACAAAAAGTTTTTCAGTATTCTTGACACTGTTTTATCTAAAACAAATGATGCTTCTAAGGGTTGTGACCCAGGGTCGCTTCTGGCGAGAATGCAGAGCATGCCCCGCACGCAGGTGCCAAATTCTGTTGGTATCCTGAGGAAAAAAGACTCAAGAGAAACCCACTTCTTCGGGAAAAAAAGACGTTACTCTCGAGGAAAAAAGACTCGAGAAAAAAGATTCGAGAGAAATGCACCTCTCGGTGAAAAAAGACTCGAGAGAAAACTCTTGAGGAAAAATATTCGAGAGATCCCAATTCTCAAGAAAAAAAAATTGGAAAAATACTGAAAAAAGATTCGAGAGAAAACCACCTCTCGAGGAAAAGATTTGAGAGAAAACTACCTCTCGAGAAAAAATATTCGAGAGAACCCAATTCTCAAGGAAAAAAATTGGAAAAATACCCAATAAGTAAAAACGAATAGAGATAAAAAAATCAAAACTAAAACTACCGAAAAGATAATAAAATTTTATACAAAATAGAAGTAATAGAGGTATCGATATGAAATGAAATTTTAATTTACGGGAGATACCTAAAAAACGAGTGAAAATTTTGAAAAATACCCGTTATGTAAAAATGAATAAAGATAAAAAATTTAAACAAGAACTAAGTAAAAAAAAATAAAATTTTATGCAATACAAAGTATCCTTAACAACATTTTAATGCTTTAATAATTATTTTACGGACTGGTCCGTAAAGTTATGTCAACAATTCATGAAATTCATAAAAATTCATAGAAATTCATAGGAATTCATAGAAATTCATAGAAATTCATAGAAATTCATAGAAATTCATAGAAATTCATAGAAATTCATAGAAATTCATAGAAATTCATAGAAATTCATAGAAATTCATAGAAATTCATAGAAATTCATAGAAATTCATAGAAATTCATAGAAATTCATAGAAATTCATAGAAATTCATAGAAATTCATAGAAATTCATAGAAATTCATAGAAATTCATAGAAATTCATAGAAATTCATAGAAATTCATAAAAATTCATAGAACTATTCATATTAAATACTTTTATACTTTTGGTTTATTACAGATAATTAGATTTTTAGACACGATATGGCGTAAGTGAATTTTACATTAGGCACTAGCAAAACATTCACCGATATAATATTTATATGTTGAGGTATATAATGAATTATTAGTATAAGAAAGGGGTGCACACAAAATCTTGCACGTTAACGGATCGGACCTGAGTGATACTGCTAGAAGAAACCCAAGAACTTGGTCTAATACCACACAATACATTGAATAAATTGAAGACACAAGTGAATGAAGGTGTCATTTCACATTTTTCAAAAAATGATTTTTATGGCCTAATATACTTAAAATATACTATTTTTTTTTGTTTGCGATAGTTCTGATTTCCAATTTTGATAAATAACGGTTATTCATCAGATAGAAAGGTATCATGAGCCATATAGATGTCATGGACCAACTACCTTAAACAGTTCGAGACAGCTGTGAGAGCAAACGAATGGTCTGAAAGAGAAAAGGCAGTGAATCTGGCAATCGCCCTTTGAGAAGACGCTTCAGATGTTCTTCAGATTATACCTGTGGAAGAGACAGATGATTTTGAGCAACTCAAAAAGAGACTAAATATGCGTTATGGCCACGAACATTTGGAGCATCTATACCAGTCACAGTTAAAGAATTGAAACGAGACGAGACCCTTCAAGAATATGAAGTAGATATTGCCAGGTTGGTACGATTTGCCTACCCATTAGCTCCGGAAAACATGATGGAATGTTTAGCAGTCCAAACATTTGTTGATGGACTCCGTGACCAAGAGATGCAGAAAACACCTCGCTTAGCCCGCCACAAAACATTGGTCGATGTCTTGTCCGCTGCTTTAGAATATGAGGCAGCTACGCATGCTTCTGATGGATACAGTAAAGTGAGGACTGTAAAAGAAGAAAACGTAGAGGATAAACTCGACCAACTAGTTAACATAATGAAGACCTTTACTGATAAAAAGATGAAGACAAAGACCATTAGGTGCTGGAATTGTGGTGAACTGGGACATGTACGCAGTTCATGCAAATGCCCTAGGGGTCCCAACAATTGAAGACAACACGCCGCAGGAAAACTAGAGCAGGTCGGCCTAGAGGAGGCAGCTTTGACCCGAAACCGTTCCAAAGACCTTCTGATATTGATAGCCTCTTTGTAAATGTCGCGATGATAGTGTATACGTAGACAGCGAAGTAAATAAAAGTATATACTGTTGGTAGATACTGGAGCAACTAGGACCATTATACGATCAACAACCATAAATAACCCTAAGAGACTTTTACCAACAAGATTGCGACTGCGGACTGCCATAGGTGAAATACATGGGGAAATCCAGGTTCAATTGGGAATTGGTACAGAAAAGTTCACTCATATTGTTATTGTCGCTGATATCGAAGATGTTATTCTTGGAAAGGATGTAATGAACTTACATGGTATCCAGTTGGACTTTAAAAACAGAGTGATCAAAGTTGGTGCCTATATCCATATGGGGACAGTACCGTGCCAGTTGCTGTACAGGACGATACGATGGTATCTGGCAGAATTGAAACCGTTATAGTAGCACGGCTTCAAGACACAATGGAAGAAGAAATACCTGTCATGATGGAACCTTGGCACCACGATGAAGAGGTTGGACGAGGCATTCTGATCGGATAGGGGTTGGTCAAATAAAATAAATTTTTTCACTTTTATCAAATTAAGTCTCATTGCATACGTTCTTACAGGCCTGATGATGGTCACTGACCGAAAGTAGTCGCTTTCCCTGTTTTCATAACAATAAATAATTTTTGCGGTTAAGAGTTTTTCCTTTCCTTTTTGATTATTAGAACCTTAATTACTCTTTTAACAGACTATGTTCTTAAATTTATATTCTAGAGAAATTTCATTTAGCTAAAAGTTTTATTAAATAACAATGAGAATACTTGAAACTACTGTGCGTTTTCTTTAATGATGAAAAAAAATGATCTTTTGTAAATGTGTCAAAATGTAAGCGACGACCCGTATGGATATATCTTATTTAAAGTACTTGTGCTCATAAAACGAGATAAAGATATAGGTTGCCGCATGATTTACTTTTTTATAGAATAAAAAAATAAACGACACTTTTAATTCAAAAATACTCTCATTTATTAAATAAATATTTTACTGATTTTTTTGATGAAGTTATAAGCGTTTTCAGTTGGAAATTTACTAAAATTAGAATATTAATAATACATAATGGCTATAATTAATATTAATAAAATAGACTTTAAAATATCCTTTTATAACAGTTTATAGACATTTGTAGAATATTTTAATGATTATGTTTCGAAAATTCACAGATTTTTACGAGTTGATAGCAATAATAGATTTGGGTATTTAAAAATGAAATTAGGTTCAAAATAACACAGTAATTATTGTTTCCATTATGTATAAATGTGTATGATTTTAGTAATTAGAAAAAATAAAATATAGAAAAATTGCCATTGATTGACTAATATTCTTTTAAAAATTTAACATTTCTTATGCTTTCTATTACCCATGTAAAAAAATTACTTCTAAATTATTACTTAAGTCTAAAAACGAATTAAAATGTAGGTAAAAATAATTAATTATAAAATATGCTAAATAATAAAAAAATATTCCGTTTAGATTTTAAAAGTGTGAAACTTCAACAAAACCAGTCAGTGCAAAGGGATAGTAATTTTGTATGGTTTTTATCTTACCATTCAACAATATATTATTTAGAAAAAACTTTTATTGCAATTTTATACAAAATAAAAAATTTTTAATAAATTTATTATTTCAAAATTTGTCCAATATTGTTTAATATGTTCCTCGACTGCAGTATTTAAAACTTTTACCTATTTCCCTTAGCTAGATTCCTTTCTACTTTATCTTTAATCAATAATTGTTACTTCCAAAAGTCCTTATTAAAATATTAATATGTCTCAAGAATATGCAAGAAAAACTGATGAAATATATCTAAAAATGAATGTCTTTAATATTATGTATACTGTGTGTTGTATAAAAATACGTATTTGATTTTTTACTTGGGTAATAGAAAGTGCTTTTTCAATAGTAACCTCTCCAAGATTAGAGCAATAAAAAATTAAAGGTAAAATCAAATACCTTCTTTTGATTATATTACATTATATAAAAGGAATACTTTTTCTTATAACGAGAATAGATATATCTTTATTTAGAGATTAGATATTAAAACAAAAACGTTGATATAAATATAAATTACTAAAATATAAATTTTCTTTCACAAGATTTGAAGAATATTATAAGAGATAATATCCGTTTTTTTTTTGATAGGTATAATCGTAAATATAAGTACTTTGAAAGATGATAGATAGGGTGCTTTCGAAAGTTTTATATTCGTAAATCTATAGTTTTCTTATTCTGGTTTAAGTCTATGCCATTGTACTATAGTCTGCCTGGGTTTGGTGATCATATCTTGCCAATGCTTCGTTTCTGAAGCGCCGGAGCCATTTTTACCTGCGAAATAAACAATATTAATAAAATAAGATTAAAAATATTAATAGAATATCAGTTATTGAATGCAAAGTGACCCAGAGGTATATTATATTATACAGGATGAGTCATAAGTAATCTGTCAAATTGTAACTGTAGATTAGGAAGGCAAAAATAAAAATATTTTACTTAACAACAATGGGTCTGAGATCGCTCCTTTCCGATCTACAGGCTGTTAAAGTTGGAATAAAAAATATTTTTGTTAATAAAGAATCCATTTTTTGAGATACACGTTTGAAAATTGGGGTAGTTCCATTTTCTATAGGGACAAACAAGATTATGTTATTAGATTTGAGTTATCTCGTAGATGTCGCCACATACGCCATACTGAAAAGAAAACAGCTTAAAATTGTTGTCCCTCATTAATTAACAATTTACGTATTAAATTTAGAAAAGCTTATCATTTTTGTATAAAAAGTTATACTTCTTTGATCTTTAAAATATTAACCGTTTTCGAGATATTTGAAAGTTTGTAATTCACCACCTGGTCGCCGGGTCATTGTAACTACAAAATGTAATGTTCCCCTAATTGAAATCAATTCATAAATAACGTTTAAATGATAATTGATATCGTATTTTCATATCTCTACGTAAGCCAAAAACAGTATATAGGGAGTTTTAAAACGTTGGTCGTTCCTAAAATTATTTTTATTTTGAGATAGTTTGTATTTATTTTATGAAAATATTAGATTGTAATGGAACAAAAATTAGGAAACAATAATACAAAATTATTTGTTTATTTTAACGCAACGTATGCTGCTTAACATATTAATAATAATGGTAACAAATCTGGTATTTAAATCCAAAAAGGACGATTGCGATAATTATAGCATTTACTGGATTTAATGTGTTATGCCCTCAAATTTTGACAGAAGCACAATATTAAATAAAAATGTGATGTTTCTGAAACAATTTGTTTGTTGTTTTTGTTATCGAATGATTCGAGTTAATTTGATACATTAGTGAAAATGCCGAGACATAATCTCTATTCAAATGAAGAAATGAGAGATATGATTTGCTGTTATACAAGAGAAAATTTTCTGAATATTCAGCGTCTAGAAAATATCGCGAGTTATACCCAAACCGAAGGCAACCAAACCACAAGATATTTCAAAATATTTATAACCGATTGGGTGAAACAGGTTCGTTTCGCCCAAAATACCATACAGAGCGTCCCAAAATTGTTAACCAACAGCAGGAAGATGAGTAGCAGAAAATCGTGAAGTAAGCACTCATCGATTATCTGCAACTACCGGAATAAGACAATCATCCGTGATTAGAATTTTACACAAGGACAATTTGTACCCAAATCATTTTACACCTGTGCAAATTTTGCTTCAAAGAGATTATCCTGCAAGAGTTGAGTTTTATCAGTGGCTAGATTAGATTAGATTTAATTAGGACTATGGGCCCTGTGGCCTCCCCTCACCTCGACCTATTCAGATCTATTGTGGATATCCTTTAATCATTGTTTAGAGTACCTTGTTTAATTCGGTCTTTTGTAGTAGACTCCATAGACTGGGAAGTAGTACTCCGGTATAGCTAGTTGCCCTTGGTTTTTCTTCTTCAAGTCTCAGTCTTGCTAGACCTTCGCAGTAGCACAATACGTGTTCTGACGTTTCCTCCTCTTCTTGACAGAATCGGCACAAGGTCTCTTCTGTCAGACCGATATTGTACATTTGTTTGTTAATTCTACAATGCCCTGTTAATAGACCTACTAGTAGTACTCTAGTATTTTTTCTATTAAGGCTTAGTAGATGCTTGGTGAGTTAGGCGATGGTCTTTTTGAGAACTCTTTAGCCTGTTTCTGTCCTGGTGAGTTTTTCCACCACTCCTAAATTTTTTTAAACATCCACTGTTTTGTGCATGTTCTGATAGTTGTTTTTGTTACACCACAGAAAGGTTCTGGGCCAATAAAGCATTTGAGGCTCCTTCTCGGGCTAGTAAATCAGCCTCTTCATTGCCCTTATGTCCCCTCTGGCCTGGTACTCAGGCTAAGGTTAGTCTGTTTTGACTACCCAGCTCTATTAGGGCTTCCAAACAGTCCCACACAAGCTTTGAGTGTACCTGCATGGAACTGAGTGCTTTTAACGTCGCTTGATTGTCTGAGTATATGACAATGGTTTTTCCGTTTACCTTCTGTCTTAATATTTCTTTTGCGCAGTGATGTATTGCTGCTATTTCTGCCTGGAATACTGTCGCATGTTTACCTAAGCTCAGTGAGATTCTTGTCTTTGGCTTGGTACTATATATACCTACTCCTGAACCTTCATGGGTTTTGGAGCCGTCTGTATACCAGGTGAAATCTGCATGAATAGGAGGTCCTCCCGTCCACGCTTCCCTGTCTGGTATACTTACTTTATATTGCTTTTGAAAGCTATACTTTGGGAGCATTTCGTCTGAAGGCACTCCCATTATTTGGTCGTTCTCTAACTCTTTATATAGCTCGCTGTAGTCACGTCCATGCAAACTGCTTATGGGTGATGAACCTTTGTGCAGTCTGTATGTGACAGACCTGGCTTCGCCTTGAATGAATATATGTAGTGGTGTCAAGTTTAGCATGACTTCTATAGCTGCTTTTGGATACCATTAAGCTGTCTAATGGCTCCAGCTTGACGAATCTTTGGCCACCATACCACCAACCCGTAGGTAATCATCGGCCTTATATAACCATAGGGACATTTTTGGTTGTAGTCCTCAATTTTTTGTGTTCTTTTGGGTGACTTTTTGCAAGTGTTGATTTCCATGTTAACCTAAGGTCAAAGATGACTCCCAAGTATTTTGCCTCTTGAGTAAATGGAATCTTCACTCCTTTCAGTACTAGTGACTTTAGTCCTGTTGGTACCTTTCGTTTTGTAAAGTTGACTATTGTTGTTTTGTGAAGGTTTACTGTTAGTTCCTCCTTTCTGCACCACTCGTCAACAATATTTAGAGCAGTTTGTGTGCGCTCCGGTATTGTACCTGCGAACTTGCCTCTTACGACGATCGCCAGGTCATCGGCATACTCTAGGCAGTAAAAATCTGCAGATATTAGCCTCTTTATAAGTTCGTCCACTAGGACTGATCAGAGGAGGGGTGATAGTACTCCTCCCTGGGGGCAGCCCCTGCCTGCTTTAGCTGTCAGTGTAGCTTCGCCTAGAGATGATGTTAATACCCTTTCTTTTAGGCTGGCTTTTATCCACTGACATAGGACTTTTTTTATTGCTAATGCGTTAATTATAGATCTGTTTGAGCATTACTAAAAGCTCCTTCAATATCTACGAAAGTTGCTACTGCCATTTCTTTATCCTCCAGGGATTTTGAAAATAGCCTGTTAAGATCATTCAGGGCCAAATCGGTTGACTTGCCTGGCTGATATGCATATTGACGGTCGCTGAGAGGATTTTCTCTCAATATTCTATTAGTCTTTCTAGCGTTTTCAGTATGAATGACGATAGACTGGTTGGGCAGTACGACTTTGGTGTCATATCATTAAACCTTTCTACCTTAGGAAGGTATATGACTTTCACCTTTTGCCACACCTTTGGTATATGTCGCCAGGCTATACATGCTTTAAATATGGACACATATGTGGAATTAAAGTTTCCTCTCCTTTTTGTAGTAGAATGGGATATATTTCATCTACTCCTGGGGATTTGTATGGTTGAAATTTGTTTGTAGCCCATCTTATTTTGTTCGGCCTCGAAATTTCTGTAGCTAGCCTGTATTCCAAAGGAGTTGGCCTACAAGACCTTTTCTGAGGGCTGTATGCTACTATCGGGCCTAGCAAAATTTCTGCGGCCGGAAAGTGTACTTCTATGAGCATTTTTAACGTTTCCTCGAAGGTTTTTGTATAGGTTTCATCATCTTTCCTAAGAAATCCTACTTGGTTTGCAGCACCCTCTTTAGCTAAGACTTCGTGGATTCTAGAGCATGTGGGTGTTTCAGATAACTCCTCACATAACTTCCTCCACGATTGCCTTTTAGCCTTTCTTATCTCCTTGTTGTACTGCGTGAGTTTAGCCTTATAAAAGGCCCAGTCTTCGGTTGACTTGGCTTTATTAAATTCTAAGAATATTTTGTCCTTTGATGATTTTGTTAAGTGGAAAAAATAGCCGTTTTTAATAATTGGAATGTTGTTAAAAAATAAATAAAAATAACGAATTTTTAAAAAAGTTGTATGTTCTTGGTTAACACAGTGTAGTACTTATTTTTATTTAGACTATTAATAATTTTAAAAATAATAAAAATAGTTTTCTCGAAAATATTTGAAAATAAAACTTAGTTAATGGTCTAAGCCATCTAAATTTATTTGGGTTAATAATTAAATTATATTAATATTCAAAATATTAAGTTGTATCTCCCAAACGAAACGGAATTTTGAAAATCATCAAAGAACAAAATATTCTTAAAATAGTACAAGGAAGAACCACATGTTTAAAAAACACCCCGTATATTACAATTCATGACCTGCCGTTTCGTTACACCCTATATGACTTTTAACTAACTTATAATACATACCAGCTAATAAAATTCTTCCTATAAGCTCGTTCCTTCCAATGTTATCGAAATCCATAACCATAACGTCCAATGAACATTCTCGAATTTTTTCCCAAGGTACGTTAAACGAAAACGTATCGTTAAAAACAGGATTTAGAGTACATTTGAATATCGCTGTTTTTCGTTTTTCTATACGTTTATCGCCGAATTGGAGCCACACTTTGACGTACGGATCTAAAAATAGAAGAAGAAATTATCAGTTTGTGTAAAATAATTTAAGATAACTATAAAAACGGGTTACATACAATATTTTTTCTAATTTTGTCTAGAATATTCATAAAAACGTGTTTTGATTAAACATTAGTAACTTCTAGGCAACCAATAATGCATGAGAACATTATCAAACTCGGCTGCGCCTCGTTTGATAAACTGTTCTCTCGTTTGCAGAAAATGCTATTTTTGTCACTCGTTAAACAATATACTTTCATCAATTCAGACATAAAATTAATGACTTCAAACAATTCAAAGTACTACTCGAAGTCGTCATTTTAATTACACTTTTCATTCATTTTGCAAAACAGTGTTTATTTCGTCTCTACCTTATTCTATGTCTATGGAAGATTAAAGCATTAAAGAAACAATTAGGCATTCCAAACAAATGAATTGTCAGTGGGAAGATTTGGTATATCTAAGGGTGGCGACATACAGTGTATTCAATCTACTTTACGTAAAATCATGAATAATGGATTAAATTTAAATATTTTATGTCAAACACAATAAAAATTATATTTAAAAAACCCACCTATACATTTCTTCATAAATTGGCAGGCTTGGAGACTACTACTTCGAATAAAAATAGCGTCCAAGTTGCAAGACTATGTCGCTACCCCCTTAGATATAAAAGAATTTCCCACTGGCACCTATTGTTTGACAGGTCGTTGGAATGCCTAATAATCTAAGGATGGAAGTGACACATCTATAACTGCCGTACTCTTCGGATTCTTCTATTTTCCTTTCTCTTGGAATGTTTAAACTTTCCTAGCTATCAAGAATGCACCAGGTCCTTGAACAAATTAATCTCCAGGACGGAATCGATAAGACAAAGACCAAACTCATTCAAGTTTAAAGAGAACAATACAATTTTACATCGTGTGCTTTTATAGCTAGTTGTTTTGAAAACTTTTTCTATTTTCCCTAGGTATTATCAACATAGTTCCCTTTTTTTTATGGAATACTGATTTATAAATATTTATACATACAGAATTCGACAGATAAATTTGCAGGGGAGGTTTGAAAATCACTACAAAGGCGCTCCAATTCAGTACGAAAAGTTTCGTGACCAAATGCGGTATACAAAAAATATGAATTATATGGGATAAGTGGAAAAAAGAACAAGCAAACAGGAAAACAATAGAACCGCAAAGCACAATATGCCAATATGCCATGAACAATCATAATCCGCTGGAAAAGGTTAACTAATCGTTGTATAATAAAAAACCATAGATTGCAAAAAATACTAATAGAATATAGTAATAATCAATATTAGTTCACACAAGAGATAAATAAATATTTATAATATAATATATTTATTAAAAAATTTAACTATAGGTATTTTTTAATTAGTTGGTATTTTACAATTTTAAGATTATTTTTTTAAATTTTATTGCAAAATGTATTACTTTTTCTCTTGAAAACATAATTTTAATTCTTGTTAAAAGTAAAAATCGCATAAAGAGAAACGACGTTTAATGAAGCAGAACTAATATCAGTGAATATCCTTTCCTTACTTTTCAGTTTCAAATTTACTGAAAAAAAAAAAAGAACAAAAAGACTTCCGCAAATACCATACTACTTGGTCTCTTAAATGGCTTTCGAACATAAAACTTTTTATTTTCTTATATTTACCGCTAATTCCACTTTAATTAAATGTCGTAGACTCCGTTTCACGAGAAAAGAAGCCAGCTCAAGTTTCAACAATGATAGTCTCAGAAACCAAATTATGTTTACCTACAGCGTCGCGCCACTGGCGTAAATAGAATATTTATACGGATAATGGGGTCTATTCTGTAACAATTCCTTTATATTTAACAGCCTTTAAAAATATTGGCGGCCTTTAAAAATATGTTCGTATTCGTTAATTTACTTCAATGGGGTCTATTCTGTAACAATTCCTTTATATTTAACGGCCTTTAAAAATATTTTCTTCTTTACCACTGTCTTTATTTAAAAGGATCTTTAAAATACATTAGAGGACTATCTTAAAGAAATCTGTTTAAATAATGACAGAAGTAAATTAACGAATACGAAAATGTTTTTAAAGGCCGCCAATATTTTTAAAGGCTGTTAAATATAAAGGAATTGTTACAGAATAGACCCCAGTATGATAGCTATCTATTTATTTGTTAGCATTTGACATTTGAGGTTGTGTTTTTGAAATCGTTTATTTTTATATTTGACAAAACATACAAAGGGTTTATATTTAAATGCACTTATTTTTTGCTTGCATTATTGAGGCAAAAAATGGAAAAGTTTTGTATGTTTCTTTTAAAAGTAAGTATCTGTGCTCTAGCTTTAACTAAAAACATAAAAGCTGCTACTCATAAATGTTCAAAAAATTGGGATGGTTCATTGACTTCTATGGAATCGGAACTAATTTTAGAAGGATTCCGTAATAATATAAAAATGCACAAATTAAAATATGTAAAAATTATTAGCGATGAAGAAAGCATTATTTACCAAAAAATTTGCTTAGAGAGACCCTACACAAGAACAATGGTCTGCAAAGTAGAATGCATAAACTATCTTCTCAGGAATTATTACACAAATTAGCGTGATATTGCGAAAAAAACAATACAGTTCAAAAACAAAATAGTAAGTTGAGGACTAAAAAGTTACGAGTGGGAATTAAATTGGCTGTAAATTACCACAAAAAAAATACCAGTGATATTGTTGACAACGTGAAGCAATTAACTGCAGACATTAACAACTCTCCTTACCACACATTTGGAAATCATTCATTCCCACTCTTTATAAAAAGCTGTCAAAAAGTATTCCTGGCATTGACACACAAAGATTGGTGACTCAAATAAGCAAACGTAGATGTAGTAGAAAAGCCAGGGACCCTCAATTAAAAGAACGTAAAAGTGACACCAGAAATGAGCATTCAAGAAAAAAAAAATTAAATATCTAACCAATACAGATGGCCAAATTAAATTAAAAAAAAAAGAATTATTATTATCAGGTACAAGGACAATTGGCTATAACGAAAGTCAAATATTGTTATTTTATAGTTTGGACCCCACTAGGAATGTTCGTTGAGAAAATCGAGAGAGATGACCATTTTTGGTTATGTGCTAAACCAAAGTTAGTTGATTTTTATTTAAAGTATTTAATAAAAAAAATTGTAAGAAAAAATTGATGTAATTTTTTTTTGTTATTTTATTTTGTTCTGTAAACAAAATGTTTTATTAACCCTACAACCACAACGTGGGGTCGCCCGTGACCCAGCCGTTTGGTTTTTCTTACATACACTTGCACGAGGTTAAGATACTAGCCTGTTAGTCCACTTATCTTCAGTACTTGTTGTGTGCGTATGTGTTTTTTGTTTAGATTTTGATAATCGCCGGTAATAAGTCATTTAATGTATTTTGACCCCACATTGTGCTTTATGTTATAATTTTCGCAAGGTAAGTTTAAACGTTTATTTTCGTTTTTCCCGTTAAATTATTATTATCATAGGAAAATGGGTGATACAGAGATACATCTTGCTACACGACAGGCATTGCATGAAAGAACGCGCCCTCTTAGGGTAAATGAACTCTGGGACAAGCTATACACAAAGGAACTGAATGAAAATAAGCTAGGCTAGGATGAAGACGATGAAGAAGACAGCGAAGATGCCCAGGCAGCACACATTAGTATAACTAACGTATTTTATACGTAATACTCGTTTAATTTTGGTACTGGTTTATTCCGTATACGTTTACAGTTTACGATTATTATACATACCGTGTTTCAAACGATATATTATACGTTTTTTATATACATCCTATGGTATTTAATTGTAAATTTTTCTACGTTTAAATATAGTTAACAATATACGACTATTTTTAGTTTGCGATGAACTATTTATATACAGTGGGCCTAAATATACGTTTAGGTTTATTTCAATTAAATTCGTATAAATTTAAGTTATATTACAATATGTTTTCTTCGTTTATAATTACCATTTAAATTTCGTCTTGGTTGATTTTTTAAACGTTTACCATCTACCATTTTTATACTTAACGTTTTTTAACAGATAAATTAAACGCTTCTGTTTGTCGATACTAGTTAATATACCTATATTATTCTACGTTTAAATATGTCACCTTAAACGCATAATACCAGTTTACGATGAACTAGTAGACAGAAGTAAATAATATGTATATATTTAGGTTTATTTAAATTAAAAGCTTATGAAGATATTTATTTACATTACATCCATATTTTTTTAATTATATTACCTGTAATATTTATAACAAATTCCCCATACACATGGAACTATTTTTAGATGGCGGATGGAGGATGACGTACTAGTGGTACGGTCTCTTCTCATTTCTACTCATGCGTATGTGTAGTATTATTGTTCAGTGTAGGGAATAGTTTGTGGGAGCAGGTTCATCGTTTCGTCCATTTTTATTTGTGTACACGTGCGTTCTGGCTTTTACGATATTGATTAAAAGCATAGGTAAGTTTCTATTAATGTTTTAATTTAGCTACTCCTTTAATAATTGTTGCATTTTACAACAACTACTGTTTTATAGGTACGTACAGTGTGTTTAATGCTTATAGAAACTTTAAAACATAACCTTACTTTTGTTTCTTTTATTTTTATACGTATTTTTTAGGTTACCTAGTTATTTCAAGCATACTTATTTTCCTTTTTTTTGGTCAGTTGTTTTTTATTTAATAAAATGTCTAAAATAGCGCAAAATGTTCAAGATGCTTCAAAGTCAAATCAATTTTTTTTATTTCCAATGAAGATAACAATAATAAGGCTTCGGACATTAATATATCATCTGATTCTATTATTTATAATAATTTCCAAGAAAATAATACAAATTTAACTTCGGAGCTTTTAGAAAATATTTCACCTGAAATTGAGTTACATTTTGGTTATAGGAATTGGAGTGAATCAAGCGACTTAACCGACCGAACGATTAGGTGTGTCATGCAAGATTAGCCTAAGTTAG